AAACTACTGTCATTTCGCCCTACATCATATCTTGTATACTTATTTATCCTCTTTTTCTTAAAATATGTATTACCTATAACTAAACCCCTTTCTATACAAAGTTCAATCAAAGGGCTCCCATTATCATTTACACCTGGCACCCCAAACTTACCTACCACACCTTCTCTAAAAGTTTCTCCTACTTTAGCATTCAGGTCCCCTACCACAATTACTCTCTCACTTGGTTCAAAGGCTCCTATACATTCACTTAACATCTCCCAAAATCTCTCTCTCTCCTCTGCATTCCTCTCCTCTCCAGGTGCATACACGCTTATTATGACCCACTTCTCGCATCCAACCTTTACTTTAATCCACATAATTCTTGCATTTACACATTCATATTCTCTTTTCTCCTTCCATAACTGATCATTCAACATTACTGCTACCCCTTCCTTTGCTCTAACTCTCTCAGATACTCCAGATTTAATCCCATTTATTTCCCCCCACTGAAACTCTCCTACCCCCTTCAGCTTTGTTTCGCTTAGGGCCAGGACATCCAACTTCTTTTCATTCATAACATCAGCAATCATCTGTTTCTTGTCATCCGCACTACATCCACGCACATTTAAGCATCCCAGTTTTATAAAGTTTTTCTTCTCTTTTTTAGTAAATGTCTACAGGAGAAGAGGTTACTAGCCCATTGCTCCCGGCATTTTAGTCGCCTCATACGACACGCATGGCTTACGGAGGAAAGATTCTTTTCCACTTTCCCATGGACAATAGAAGAAATAAAGAAGAACAAGAGCTATGTAGAAAAAGGAGAAAAACCTAGATATATGTATATATATATGCATGTGCATGTCTGTGAAGTGTGACCAAAGTGTAAGTTGGAGTAGCAAGATATCCCTGTTATCTAGCGTGTTTATGAGACAGAAAAAGACACCAGCAATCCTACCATCATGCAAAACAGTTACAGGTTTCTGTTTCACAGTCATCTGGCAGGACGGTAGTACTTCCCTGGGTGGTTGATGTCTACCAACCTACTACCTTAAGAGGAAGTAAACCCAACAGCCAGGCGTGTTGATGAATAACAGAGGTTAGGTTAGGTAAAGTTCGTCAGGAAGCAGGACAAGTTCTTCCTGGAACTTTTGGTCGTCTGACCGATGCCTTCCACTGGCTTACCAGTCCACCCCCATTAAAAGTATAAATTACTTACATGTGATAGATGACGGAACACACTGTTAAGTATCTTTAATAAGACACAATGTGCAATTAATGGAATTTATAGAGACGTTTCGAACGCCAGGGACTATCAATTCACTTGAACTGATAAAGACCCCTGGTGGGCGAAACGTCTTGTCAATAAAATGCCATGAATTGCATATTATGTCTTATTAAGAACACGTAAAATATTTCAGTACAAGACTTATGTAGGGATTCAGGAAACAGGTTAGCTGGACTTGAGTCCTAGAGGTGGGAAGCACAATGTCTCCACTCTGAAGGATGGATAGAGGTGTTACAGACCTGACAGTCATACAAACTGTAACGTCAGCGCGATTCTGGCAAGACAGTGATTGAATGACCATGAAAGTATATCGTCTATCCTGCATCCCACTACCTCGATGGGAGACGGTCGGGCGTGTTAAAACACAAACTACGCTACTGAAGAGTTTTATTTGTGACAAAAACAATATAGCAAACGACTAATGGCATATAATGTGAAATATGTTGACTGGGGTGGCTAACAACTTGCACAGAGATGAGCAACAATGAGCACAGCGATGGTGACAGTCACCGAGTACGTACTGACGTCAGATACACAATTATATTGTTAGAAATATTAAGTGTTAAAAGTGCTCTTCTCACAACATTGGACTGAACACATCTACTCAAGGCTGAGGGACTGATTACCTCAAAGTCCTCCTTATCTTCCACCATCTATCTCTGCACCGGACTGAGGAAGCCACTTGGTTTCCACAATAATGATTCCCAATGCTGCAAAAGTGTCTAATTTTTCAAGAAAGGAAGAAGAGAAAGGATCAGCACACAAAAAGTGTCAACGTGAGGCCGGGGGAAATATGCAAAGGGAAAAAGTGCGATCACCCAACACCCTAAGAAACACCTCGACATTTAAAGGTAAAAACGCCAATCTGAAGAAAAATGTAATTTCCCCACCAAAACAATAAACATCACCCCCACTTCCACCCTCACTACCACCCCCACTACCCCCACTACCACCACCACCCCCACTACCACCACCACCCCCACTTCCACCACCATCCCCACTTCCACCCCCACTTCCACCACCAGCCCAACTACCATCACCACCCCCAACACTAATCCTTCCTCCCCCCTCTCAACACAACCCCATCCCCTACCTTTACTTCACACACTCCACGAACACACTAGTGAAAGGTCAAGCCAATGAACGCTCAGTTGACCGAAGTCAAGACTACGAACACCTTGGCAACTCGTTCCAACTGATCTCCCAACACGTTCGATCAACCACGAAGCCACGAGA